AGACCAGGAATCCAGTTCTCATCGGGCTGATGTGCCAAAACACGATTAAAGTCAGGCGTGGGGGGTGGTGGGGGGTGAAGGCTCCAGGCGGTAGCAACAGTAGGGCCGAGATCTTTATCAAAATTGGTTGATGTGGCCAGGGCGAACACCCTCACCTTGCCATCCTGAGACAGCTGTAGCTGGAGGGTACTTGCGGCAGCGCCAATCCTCAGAGGCTCGATAGTAATAACGCTGCTGCGTTGCTCGCAAGCCCGGAGGAACTCTAGATGCAGGCTCAGAACATCAGGCTGGTTGCGGGCTGCCAGCGTTGGGTCGGTAGTGAGATGAGTTACGGTGGCATGATGAATTGCAGCGGCGATGCATCCACCGTGTAGAGCTAAGAACAAAACCGGTGGGCAGACCCCACAAGTTAGCCTAGATAATAGGGAAATGATATTGTAATTTTAGGTCACATACTTGTGCCAAAAGACCAGTCAAGATCCCAAGATATACTGTAAGTATTTGGAGAGGTTTGCTTGAGATCGATTTGATTTTTCAGAATACTGTCCATTGTTATATTGAAGCCAGCTAAACGAATACCTAATTAAAAGAGAGATATATATATACTGAGGAAGGCAAGATGACTTGTACAGACAGTGCAGTTGATAGAAGACTGCGAGTTCGCAGATGAGCTGGCTTCTCAAATCTTCCAGTAACTAGGCACCTATGTTATGTATCGTAAAAGTGGAGCATTAGTTGGCTAGATATCACAGAAAATCAAAAAGAACTCAATGATCAACTCATTCTACCACATGTCTAGTAGTATTAATTGTAGAATAATCCTGTGTTTTCACTTGTACTTGTGACTCCACCCACTCTATCCTCTCTATACTATCTCCGCGTCTGGTTGTTTATTGACTGAATATTGCCAATCCAGATCATCTATCAGCCAGAGGAGAGTGATGAGTTGACGACGCTAAAGCTGCCTTTGCCCCAGGCGAGGAGATACGAGGATGGGGTGAGTGGAGTCACGAGTACGGAGTAGAATGTCAATAGTGGGGGCCATAGTTAGTCGATTTTGACATAGGAATCTATATATGTATGTCCATGAACTCTTATATGTTCAAACAATTTGCAACTCAATTTTTTTTTCAATCCGCAAGGCGAACCGAGAAAGTGTCATTGAGTGGCAAAAATTGCTTCTCCTGCTTTTGTGGTATGGAACAAGGGGAAGTCTTGAATAGCAGTAGATTTAGAAAGATTGACTTCCGCTTCTTTTCCACATGCAGAGTGATAAAAGAGATAAATAATTAGCCATATCGAGGTCACGCTTCTTGCAAAACATAAGAGATTATTCCTGCAATGTAGACAAGCCATGTAAGGCCATATTTTGAGCATTCAGATGACTTGATTTCTGAAAGTTTCAAACTATGTTTTCTAGATTGCTGAATTTTCTTTATTTCCTTTATTTGTGATCTTTTGTATATTTACTTTCTTGCTAGACTCTTTCTAATAATAAGATCATTCTATGAGAAGTGAAAGTGTGAGTAAATTTATTCTAAAGCTAGGTATACGGGCATGTGTTATATAAAGCCTTCAAGAATGAGCCTCTTTTCTTTCAGAACTGTGAAACAAAAAGCTGCAGGCCATCATCTAACTTGTTGTTGATAATTCAGGCATCTTGTAAATCGGGAGGGGTGGTGATACGCCTGTTGAAGGTCAGTCAAAGCACTTAAACTGGATTCAAGAAGTCGTATAGTTTGCTCCACTGATGTGTAACTACTGTACATACAGAGTGAGGTATCGATTGTTCACGTACTCCGTACTCTGTAGTTAGATGATGACATAGGCCTCAGCGCTGCATTTATCACTATACTCCACACTCTTTCTGACAAGAGTCTCCACGTCCGCGCTTCTTTTTAGATGACGCTTGATGATCTTAAAAAAATTCCGCCAGATTAATGGTCACGCATGACGCCAAGGCAAAACATTTCAATATCGTCGCGTCGCCTTAAACTTCATCTTGAGCGTGATCAATCTTTGATCCTGCTACGGAGTACTCCAGCATAACCCGCCCTATCACATGGGACGGCCCCAGTGTGAAGGTAACTACTGCCTTCGTTTCGGCGAATCAGATAATCGTCCTATTAAAGGAGAATACCGCGTTGATCGTTGATAAAGATGACAGACAGCACACACCTTCCTGCCAACTCTATCACAATACCGTGCTGAGGCTATGCTTGATCTGCCAAACCTGGTACCCGGTCACTTCGGGTTCGACACTGACCCAAGCCGCTGGAATACAGGGTGGCTTCCAGAGATAAGGAAATGGTTTGAGCTGAGCGGACGAATCGATGTGGAGATGATTAAACAACACTGTGAGAGTAGATTATATTTCTCCGTGTAGTAGGCCAGGCGTCTTGCCATCACTCCCACTAGGATTTTACCAAGTGTGTTGAGCAAGGAGATTGGGCGGTACGCTCCCAGTACTCATAGAAGACTAAACGATGCACCCTACCAAATGCAAACGGCGTACTACACAGACTATAAGATTTGTTGAAGTGGATGGTCCGCGTGCTTGTTATTTAGAGCAAACACAAGGGCAGTAGAAAGAAAAAGCTGAAATGAACAAGTCTGCTATTCAGGGCCTGTTCAATGCATGGTGCGGTACTCATTCTTTTTATACACCATCACAGATTTCAGTATTTTTTAAAATTGATGAGCAATCAAGATTTGACTTTTCTAGTCTGGCTTTTTTTAATATACTTTGATGATTTATTTATTTATTAAAAAATATTATATTATATTAATTATTTTCATCAATTCTCTGCATTTGTTTTTTAAAATAACTCAATCACTTCTTTTATTACACTCAAGTATTGGTAGAAAGTTCCACTGCAGCTCTTGATCTTATCTGCGCCGTGGATAAGATTCCCTTGACACTATTGACTTCACTTCTCTCACCCTTCGCTTGCGAGTCTAGTTCACCGGCAAGAGGCTCAGCCGGTAGCTCAGAGAGCGGACTACCACCAAGAAACTCTGGCTTGCCGTAAGTATCATCGTCTTTTTCTGTCATCGCATTTTCCTCTTGCCTCTTTTCAGCTGCGGTTGGAGTGGGTGGCCTTGCGTTGTCGGTGGTAGATGCTACCCTTTTAGCATTCCGTTGCTTTCCCAAGACGAAAAACAGCGCCGCGATGAGACCCATTATAAGCACCCCTGCAACAACACCGCCAGCTATGCCGCCTTTTGCTCCTGATGATAAGCCTACTGAGGCGGGGCTGGGAGATTGGGAGTTGGTAGGGGTAAGGGTGGGGGTAGGGGTGTTAGATATGGGAGGCTTGGCTGTTGTAGATGGGATCGAGGAAGTAGTAAACGGCAATGAAGATGTAGTAGAGGACGTAGTAGAGGGTGGCACGGATGTAGAAGAGCCAGTGTTGATGTCCTCATTTTTCACGCAACATTGAACGTCATTAGGTCCGATACATGGCCATGGCTATATTATTCAGAACAAACCCGAAATGAAAAACTTAGCAAGTGTCTCAGGATGACTGTGCGATGGTGTATGGGTGAGAACAGTATCGGTAGGGGGAAGACGAAATTATTGCAACTTACCGGACCCGTGCCTTCGAAATATTTACCATCACTTTCACATCTCCTGCCGATAGTGCTTTGGCAAAAGCCAGACCCCTCGGGGACGCTGCATCTATGCAGTAAGCAGCACTGCAGTGGAAACAATATTAGAATACAATGCTGTTAATTCAATCATTCATGAACTCTGACTTCTCTAGGACCGTCTCCTTGAGGACACAAATTCCTGTCCGTTTCATAGAATCCCCTACCTGTACTCTTGAGTTAGCAAGAATAACTCGATTGAGATAGATTGAAACTTAGACAATACGGACAAGATCCAGCTTCAACACAGTCCCCTCTTCCAAGCCCTGTCTGGCATTTGATAACGTCTTGTCGAGGGAGGAGACGATTGGCTCTGGCGAATGGAGCGGACTGGGTTTTGTGGTCCTCACGAGCGCTCTTTCGCAACCTGTCGAAAGCTCTGGGGGACATCTTGGTAATTTCACAGCTTCGTTGGCAGAGTGTGTTGCGCTTTTAAGTAGCTGGAAATCTTTCCACGTGAAATTCATAAACACTGTCCCCTTCGATCTGGAAATTAACAAGGTTGGGTGCAACCGGTGGAGAAGAATGACTGACGGCGGCGAGCTAACTTTTTAAACAGGCCGTGGCCGGGTCTCGAGGCCACAAACAACGGCGTAAGCTTCCCTCGTCTCTGGTGCGATGCAGCCTGCCCTTTTTTTGAGCACGGCCCCTGGCTTTCTCTGCCAGCCAGAGGGTTGCTCGACCACCCAATCATCGCATGATACGCGCTGCCAGAGCCTCAATACCCTGGCCGTGAAACTTGACAAAGGTGTCGATCCGCTCGTATTTTCCCTTCAAGCTGGGCCAAGGATGGCGGGAGCATTGGACTAGCTCGTAATACGGAGCAAAGGTGATTCAAAAGTAGAAATTCAATCCTTGACTGGCGAAATAATTCGGCCCCGTGCGCGCTGGCTATTGTCAGGCTGGCGTCCACTCTCGAGTCTCGAGTCAACCTGTGCAGAGCCACACCATAGCCACCCGTCTCCCATTGTTAGTGTTGATGTCGCCCAAGCTGGCAATAACAATGAACCATAGCAACATGTGAATTGTTAAGTGTGGAGATCTAGGCTACATGGTAGAAACGGGCTTGTTTGGAGAGTCCAAGACATGGAAATGAAGATGAGGGTTGATATAAGCATTTTTTAGTAGGGTGGAGACAACCTGGGAACCGCAGCCGAGTCCTTTTCAGGGGTAGTTAGTTATGTAACTAGACCAACCACACAGTTCTGCCTGAGAAATGAAGTATTTTATTTCGCCATCGCTTTCAACAATGAAGTCCTATGTCAGGAGGGGATATGTATGTACAAGGCCGAGAAGAGAAGCGGGAAAAAAAAAAGGAACCAGCTGAAACTGGATAATAAAATAGAAATCGACACCAGCAGGATTCGAACCTGCGCTCCCGAAGGAAATGCCTATACGAGCTCCCTTTTGAAGGGAGAAGTTCTGCAATTTGGGTATAGCAGGGCATCGCGTTAACCACTCCGCCATAGTGCCATGAGAGTGACGTATCCAACGCCTACAGTCCGGCTATACCGAAAAATCGCCTGGCATGGAAAGTGTTGAGTCGGCAACATTCGAAAACAGTGATCTGATGCATACAAATCTGTGCATTTTCTACACAAACAAAAGCGACAAAAGCGAGGGCATGATTTTCGTGAGAGGGACAAGAAAACATTCACGAATGCTCAGACGGATGCTAGTTAAAAAATAATAATCCCTTGTTGATACATGCTTGACTATATATACATATCGTACAGAAATCCTTCAGTCACGAAAGCCCCAAAGTATCTTTGACGCTTCCCAACGTGATATTGGCATTTTCACTAGCAACCTTGGCGCCATCTTCTGCAATGGTGTCAATGTAGCTAGATGTGTTGTTTGTAAGTTCCAAATACCTTTCCCGAATTCCTTTCAAATGCTCCGTGAGCGAGTTAGCTACATGCTCCTTGAAAGCCCGCATGCTCAAGAGTTGGTGTTCCCGCCCCAATTCTGCAAAGGCCCTGCCTCCATCTGCTCCTCCCTGAACATGGGCGAGAATCTCAATAAGGTTAGAAACACCGGGTCGCTTGGAAGGGTCATAGCTAATTCCCGGTTCAGAGTCCGTAAGGGCAAGTTTTATCTTTTGATGAATTTCCTCCGCCGAGTCTGTGAGAAGAATTCGAGATCGGGGATCGGTGTGCGATTTAGACATTTTCAATGTTGGCTCTTTGAGTGACATAACGCGCTTCGCCGGGGCTGTTTCGGTTTCTTTGTCAACATTTCGATTCAATTTATTGATGTTCATGATGCTTACATATCAATGGAGATGGCATGACGAGCACCGGACCATATATGTGGTTGAAGCCGTTGGCAACTTCCCGTGTAAACTCAAGGTGCTGCTTTTGATCTTCCCCTACGGGCACATCGGTTGCTCTGTTTTCTATTATTGGCGCCAATTCTAACATATGTAGCAAGTGAATCACACCATCCATACCTGTGTACCAGCACGTCCGCAGCTTGGAGCACTGGGTAGGAAAACAGCCCAAGTTTAAGGCGCGACTTGGCGTCCGAATTATCCAATGTAGATTCCTCTGGCAATTGTAGTTTACTCTTGCGACAATTCTTAGCGTAAGAGGTTTTGCAGTGTCGGTCGCCATCAGAGAGCTGTACTCACTTTCCACTGCGTCATCCGCGATAGATATCCCATCGAAGAGATCGTGCTCAAGATCCACATCAATTCCGAATGCGCTGGCACCTGTCTGCTGTTAGCTAGCGGGTAACCATCTCATTTGTATTCCCAACTCGATGCGTTTTGTATCGCGATTCGCGTTTCGTGAAGAAAATGCAAAGCAAAAGCCGTACCGCAGACTGGAAGAAGATAGTGGACCGTTTCGGGTTAATCCCGACAGCTATCAATGTAGCCAGCAGCTGTTTCCGCCATTGTCGAAGAAGTGTAGGGTCCTGTGGAACGGTGAGGGCATGGAGATCTACGATGGAGAATATCAACTTCGTAGAAGGCACAGCTTCGTTTTGCAGCAGAACCCACTGCCGTAGCGCTCCTAAGTAATTGCCCAAGTGAGGGACCCCGGTGGGTTGGATGCCTGAGAAAATGATGCGGTCATTCGAAGTGGAAGCGCTTTTGGTGGCTGAGGCGTTTCGTCGACATTGTCGCGGACAAAATGAACGGGGGGGGTTCAATTGTCGGTATAATAGACTAGAGGCATTTCGCACGGAATATACCGGATGTGCCCGCTGGAATATAGCGGACATATCTGGATTTTTTGCGATCAACTGGAGCTCTTGCGGAAATATTGCTGTTGGGTGGTGTAAAGATTCCGCGCCCACCAAGCCGCAAAATGGCCTCACGTGCTCGCGCAGAGAAATGCCGCAGACTTTGTCGCCCCAGGAGACAATTCTATATACGAAACAGTATGAGGGCTATTTCCTTCTTTTGGGGATTTTATGAGTATATAGAGCCGTCCGGTACGGACCAGGCTTACATTTTTTGTTTGGGAGGAATGTCACGCCCACGGGTTTATGGTGCAATTTACAGTCAATATATGAGTGTATAATTTGTATAGTACACAAGCAGGAATGAAATAAAGAAATGGCCCAATGATATACAAGCTCCATGCATATAAACCCATTAAAAATTCCCGAATCTCAGCGGCTATTGTTATTCATGAATTTCCTTCTGTCTACCAAATCAGCAACCGATTCCGCTTGCTCCAATGCCTTCTTGCTAGAGCCGAAGTTGGCAAGTTTCTCCTCAATTGCGCTGTCCAACTCAGCAGTTGTCTCATCCATCAATTTCCCAACGCCTAAATTTTTAATTTAATTAGAAACCTGTCACATGCTACGGATAAATCGAGGAAAAGCGGGGGAAGCCTCATACCTATTGGACTATGGTCCCAAACATTCGCCTTCATACCAACACCATGGAACGCATGTTTTCGTAGAAAGGCCAACCACGTCTGAACGACATCAGGATGGCCATCCTTAATCTGAATTAATCGACGAAGCGTTACTCTCTCGAAATTCTCCTGGGACTTTTTGTGAGCGAAATTGCTTTTCAAGACAGTCCAGCGCTCCGTGATTCGTGGAAGAGGCGCAGGTCCGAAAGCAGGGAGATTCAGGTAGTATGCCGCTCTGAGCGCAAAGTCGGCGAAGAACTCGACATGTCGTGCGCTGTATGATCGGAGCTGGAGGTCACAGACCGGAAGACCGAATTCTGCTTTTCGTCGCAAGGGTTTCAGGTATACGGCTTGCACACTACGCGGTAGTCGGAATTTGCTACCGATCTGGTCTAATCTCTCTCCCCTATAACAAAGTGAGCACGAGGTCTGAAATCTGGAAGGCGAAGTTGGGAGAAGCCTTTACCATTCCTTCGGGGTGCTTTCAAGAGATGCGGAGGGTGTTCTGCGGGAAGGATAACCATTAGCCATTGCGAAATTAAGTCGAATAATACGGTCTAACCCCGACCTTATTTCGCTAGAGACAGCAGTAGTACTCGGATTCTGCGCGCTGGGAGAGCCGCTCTCCTGGGCCGGCGGATGTGAGGTTGAAATGGGTCGAAAGGGACTTAATATCTGCAAGCTGGGTTAGGCATTGGCGGAATAATGGAGCGGAAGACTCATGTCACATACTTTTAGCCGTTTATTACTCCTCCATACAGAGCGCATGGAATTTGCCGAAAACATATTGAGAGAATAAGGAGACCCTCCTGGTCCGATACTGATGGAGTTTGCGCCTCTTGACGTGATATCTGCCGTGGGCTGGCTATTATTTGATCCTCAAAAAGTTCTTTGAAAAGTTGTATTACATAAGGAGACCTTCAACCAGCCACCCAATCACAGCTCTGGTTCAGGGGTACTTCGTTTTTGCTAGCGGTTTACACGTATTTCGCGGGTACCAAATGTCCGCCGCGAACATTTGCTTCACCAATAGTCTGTATGGTTAAGCAGTGTGAGAATGGAAACAGTATAGAGTATTTTCTTCATTTTCTTTCCCAAATGCAAAATGACCAATGTCGTGCTGGCAACGGCATTAATTCATTAAGAATCCTCCGTTCAAGTCACTGGCAGAACTGGGGCGGCGGGCTCCGACAATATGGATGCGGGTAAAACGACGAGTGCATATTTATTAGCCATGGATTTCCACCGTCCTCTTGAAAACTATTTTGCTCCATGAAACTTTACCCTTCCATTTCTTTTTTCTTCCATTTTTTTTAAAAAGCAATCCGTTGTTGGAACCTACTCCTTCAAAATCCAAATTTCCAGCCCACGTTCCCCTCCTCTCCCCATAACTACCGTAGATATTCCAAAGAATACAAAACATGGGCGAACAATCTATCTTCCTACAAGCGCAGGAAACCTGCGCCTATCTGCGCGAGCGTTTGCCTGTCGAACTTCAAAAGCCCCGATTTGCGATAATTTGCGGATCAGGCCTGGGCGGACTTGCATCATCAGTGAGCAAGAGTCCCAGTGCTGAATTTGAATATGGATCGATTCCGCATTTTCCCACTTCAACGGGTAAAAAACTAGCTGCTTTCCTACATACTAGCTATCTATCCATACATATCAACGATGATAAATGCTAATTCCCTTGCATAGTCCCTGGCCATATCGGCAAACTCGTCTTCGGCATGCTTGGGACAGATATTCCTGGAGTCTTGATGGTTGGTCGATCACAGTACGTTTGATGATATCGAGAATTACTTCTCCCTAATTGGATTTGATTTGATATCTAACCTGCCTGGCAACAGTTATTATGAAGGGCATACGGTCGACAGGGTCACGTTCCCAGTCCGGGTCTTCAAGTTACTAGGAATTGAAATGATCATTGGTGAGAATTATCCTTTCTCATTATATTATTATAGTTTATTGCTAGCCCTTATGCTGGATAAAACTTATTGCTCATATTCAAATGAATTCAGTCACAAATGCATCGGGAGGGTTGAATCCTGAATACGAAGTTGGGGATATTGTAGTGCTAAATGATGTATGGCTCCATTGTTCTTCGGTTTTAAACAGACGCTAAAAAGCCAAGTGAGCTGACGTTGTGATAGCATATCTTTCTTGCCGGTCTTGCCGGAGTACATCCACTCCGTGGCCCGAATGAAGAGGAATTCGGTGTTCGGTTTCCTGCTCTGTCAGATGCCTATGACATTGGGATTCGCAGGACTATCCACCACGCTTGGAGAAAAGTGATACAGGCAGATAATAAAAGACGGCTGCATGAGGGTGTCTATGCATTTGTTGGGGGACCAAGGTAAGAATTATGAAGATTTGTGATAAATATATATTTACCAGCCGATGCAGTGCTGACCAGTAACTAGCTATGAGACGAGGGCTGAATGCCGACTATTAAGACAGCTAGGTGCGGACCTTGTTGGGATGTCAACGGTTCCTGAGATCATAGTGGCACGGCACTGTGGGATTAAGGTACTCGCACTAAGCCTGGTGACGAATAAAGCGGTATTGGCTCCAGTCCCGCATGGAGATGACAGGCTTTTG